TAAATCATCCGATTAGAAAGTTATGATAAAAACTTCTTATTGAGTAGAAAATGCATAAATTATTGAAGTTAATTGATCCAATTCGGTTGAGGGATTCCGATGCTTCACTATTTTACATATTGACTTAAATTCCATCATTATATCCGGTTACATTCACATTTTAATTTAATAAACAAATTTTTTTCATCCAAATCACAAGAACCCTAAGTTATAGAATTCCTTTAAACATTCGTCCATCTCCCTATGGACACGACATCCCAAAACTGCACTACAACTACCGCATTATTCTTTGGGCGTAATCAACACCTAAATACTGTGTAGAGTACTTGTTGTTTTTTGGTAACTCGTTAACTCAAGTATCTAGGGAGATACCCTAACTCAATTTAGCACGTGAAACTCCAATTCATGGCTATTAAGCCCTTGTTTGACCGTCATTATTTTAATATTCTTTAATTTTCATACTCATTTTTCAACTATATTTTTTCACAATAAAATATATTTCACGTAAATTTAATTTTTTAAAATTTATTTTTATTTTCTAATCACATATTTTCCAAAAATATATTATTTAAGATTTTATATTCTCAGAATAATGACCGTCAAAAGCTAAAGTTGACTCCATTTATGCTTAAACAGGAACACAAAATCAAATGGCACATGGCTTGCTTTTGCTAAATTTCTTTTGATTCTGAGGAAGTAATAAATGTCAATCAATCAAGAAGCGAATGCTTATATCTTTAAAACAGAAAGTTAAAGGGGCAGGGATTGCACGAAAAATTAAATTACTTGCACACACAAAGTGTATACTTAATTAAAATCCTCTTATATGTCAAAAATTTGGTAGTTCATTGGAAAAGATGTTAAGATCAATGTACCAAAATCTGTCTACTCACATGAGTACAAACCAATGTGTCAACCTTTATTTACATGTAGTATGATCATTTGGCGTGCTGTCGTTGGTACCCTAAAAATAGTTCTTAAACCTCTAAAACTAATATAGTAATGAAAGTAAGGGTCGATCACATGAAGAGTGTACAATTCAACAATTTATGCTTTGTATAACGATTGGGTGAGTTTTGTTTATAACGAAATCAATCTTATAACAACTAACAATGTAAAATAATGAGTTGTATTAAATCATTGAAATGAGTTTTGATCAAAGTCAACTTCCATAATTGGAAATTTATAATCATTCATCAATCCACAAA